TGAGACTGTGACTTCATTTGATCCTGACAGAAACTCTACTATTGCTTTTCAGGCAATGGGCCCTGATTGGAGAGGAAGTGTTTGAGGCCTGAAGGTAGGGTTCTAATTTATCAATATAAACACTAGAGGTCAGTGAAATTTAACCATAGTAAAACAATGATTAAGAATCAATATGTAGGCTAGGTGCGGTGGCTCACACCTTCATCCCTGCACTTTGGGAGGCTGAGGCTGTTGCATTGCTTAAGGCCAGGAGTGTGAGACACGTCTGACCAACGTAGTGCACCTTCCCATGTCCTAAAACTACAAAAATTATCTGGGCCTCAAAGCATATTCCTGTAATTCCAGTTACTCAGAAGATTGATGCACGACGATCACTAGTGCCCAAGAGGGAAAGGTTGCAGTGAGCTGAGACTGGGCCACTGCCCTCCAGATGGGGTAACAGAGTGAGACTCTGAGTCAAAAAAAGAAAAAGACAGCATCTCTATCTCCAAGACAATATTGTTTACTTAAATATAAACATAACTGGGTGCCCCTTATTTTATGTGGCAACCTTACAGCGTCACAACCTGGAAGCGGCAAAGCTGGGTCCAGCCTCCCCTACTGATGCTGGGTCTAGGGGCTTAACCACAAAGACGGAGCTTCTTTAACACAGGTACTCTCAAGTAAGCACATTAGTTTGCACTAAACGCATGTGATATAATTCCCAAGGAATGATGCCTACCCACTTCCCTAATTATTCTTTCTATTATTCTTCAATTTGCAGATTTAGGACCTCCCTAGGGGTTGCTTCAGCCTGAGCTCTGGACAAGGAATCTCATGTTCTGTCACAACCACACGCATGAGGCCCCTCAGTCCCCACGCAGAGGGGATTCAGCCAGGGATGTATAAGTAGCATGTGAGACACAGAAGAGCTCAGCCTGGCTCTGCCTATGTCCAGTGATAGACCAGCTTCAGGTTCATTTGATGCTGGAGGCTGGTCAGCTGAGAGCAAAGGAGACACCAAGTCTTAGAGTACACGGCTTCCAGGAGAGAAATTTGGAGTCTGGAAATGGGCCATACTCTTGAGTGGGGAAGAAACAGGCAGCTCTGGACACAGCCCTTCATTCCTGTCAGGTTCCCCTTCATCAAGTTGGGCTCCCTGCTCTGATGTCTACCAAGGAACCCCTTCAGGAGGTTCAAGATCCCAGGACTTTACTACCAATGGCAGAGTGGAGCAGGCAGGTATGTCATGATTCAGGAGTTCTGTGCACAGCAGTAAGTACAGACGCACATTCACAAGGACGCTCACAGTGGTCTCTTTTGGAGTGGAAGAAATACAGAAAGGCAGAGAGTAACCGAAAGACTCAGTGTGTCTGGGCCTGGGACAGCACTGGATGCTGTGGGCTTATCTCTGGGGGGTCTGCAGGTGACCATAGCTAAGAAGCCAGCCCCTGATGTGACCCTGTGTCATCTGCTCACCGTTCACTGGGCTCAGCAGCTGCATTCTCACAGGAAACTGGATGCAGCTAGCCTGGCCTTCTTCACCCCACCTGCAAAATATGCTCATGTGACTGTCAGGACTGAGATCCTTTAAGGCATGGGAGACAAGGGAAGAGGGCTGATTTGGATGAAGCAGTCATTCCACACTCGTTTCTTTAAATTAAAATTCATTAATGGAAACTCTGGGGCTATCCAAATCTAATCAACCTAAAAGAGGGGTTATCAGCTGGAGGTGGTCAGAGTGAGAGAAAAAAGTGGCTTTCCTGAAAGACTCATCAATAAAAATTAAAAAAAAAGAAAGACTCATCAACACAGACACAAACTCTGGGACAAATAGGGTGAGTCCCTACAACCGTCACCCCATATTATCCACAGAAGCCTGAGCCTAGTCCTCTTACCTTATTGCCTCTGATCCTGGTCTATTCCCCTTTGTCCATAAACCCTTGCCTATGTCTGAGTCGAGGGTGGTAGGGGAGCGTCATCCCAGTCCACATCTACAGAGCAGTAACAGCTGCTATGGATTCAAGCAGAGTCCACAGGTGTATCCATGAGGGCCTCTTCTGCTCCCCAACCCTCTCACATAGGTGACCACTGCTGTGGCTCTGGCGGAGTGGGCCCTGTCCTCTGAAGGACACAAGGCTTTCTTTTCTCTCTAAACAATGCATATAGTGTAGGAGGTATGGGTGGGTGTAGAGCAGATTAGCTCTTCCAGATGCAAAGCAGTAAGACTGTGGCTACAGAAAAATTATTTCACAAAATCCCACACCCTTTCATGACAAAAACACTCAATAAATTATAACTAAAAGGAAACTACCTTAGTACAGTAAAGCCCATTTATGAAACTCCCTCAGTTAACATCATATGCAGTCTGAAGAACTGAAGATATTTTCTATAATTTCAGGAGCAAAGCAAGGATGCACACTTTCACCACTTCTTTTCCAAATAGTATGGAAAGACCTAGTCAGAGCTGTTAGCCACGAAGAAGAAATAAAGAGAACAGAAGTTAGAAATGGAAAAGTAAAATGATCTCTGTTTTCAGACAACATAATCTCATATGTAGAAAAACCATAAAACACATACCAAAATAACATACATTTCTGAGCTAAGGAAGCATGTTCTAACCCAATGCAGGGAAGCTAAGAACCTTGACAGAAGTTTACAGGAACTGCTAATTGGAATAATCAGTTTAGAGAGGAACATAAATGACCTGATGGAGCTGAAAAACATAGCACAGAAACGTTGTAAAGTATACCCAAGTATCAATAGCCAAATTAGTCAAGTGGAAGAACGTGTATCAGAAATTGAAGATAAACTTACTGAAATAGGTGTGAAGGCAAGATAAGAGAAAAAACAATGAAAAGAAATAAGCAAGCCTCCAAGAAATATGAGACTATGTGAAAAGACCAAACTTACGACTGTCTGGTGTACCTGAAAGTGACGAGGAGAATGCAACCAAGTTGGAAAACACACATCAGAATATTATCCAGGAGAATTTCCCCAACTCAGCAAGACAGGACAACATTCAAAGTCAGGAGACAGAGAGAACACCACTAAGATACTTCCCGAGAAGAGAAACTCCAAGATGCATAGTCGTCACATTCTCCAAGTTTCAAATGAAGGAAAAAACGTTAAGGGCAGCCAGAGAGAAAGATCAGGTTATCTACAAAGAGAAGCCCTTAAGTGTAACAGTGATTGTTTCTGCAGAAACCCTACCAGCCAGAGACTCGGAGCTAATATTCAACATTCTTAAAGAAAAGAATTTTCAAACCAGAATTTCATATCTAGGCCAACTCAGCTTCATAAATGAAGGAGAAATAAAATCCTATACAGATAAGCAGATGCTGAGGGATTTTGTTACCACCAGTCCTGCCTTAAAGAGCTCCTCAAGAAAGCACTAAATATGGAAAGAAAAACATGGTTAAAACCACGGCAAAAACACACCAAAGTGAAAAACCCAAGGACACTATAAAAATACTGCATCAATTAATATGAAAAATAACCGGCTAGCATCATCATGACAGAATCAAATTCACACATAACAATATTAAATTTAAGTAGACTAAATACCTCCAATTAAAAAACACAGATTGACAAATTGGATGGAGTCAAGACCCTTTGGTGTACTGTATTCAGGAGACAGATCTCACGTGCAAAGACACACATAGGCTCAAAATAAAACAGTGATGAAATATTGACCAAGCTAATGCAAAGCAAAAGAAAGCAGGGCTTGCAATCTTAGTCTCTGATAAAACAAACTATAAACCAACAAAGATCAAAAATACAAAGAATGGCATTACATAATGGTAAAGGAATCAATGCAACAAGAAGAACTAACTATGCTAAGTATATACGTACCTAATACAGAGCATTCAGATTCAGAAACCAAGTTCTTAGAGACCTACAAAGAGACTTAGACTCCCAGACAGTAATAGTGGAAGACATTAGCACCCCACTGTCGATATTATACAGATAGATGAGACAGAAAATTAACAAGGATATCCCATTCTTAGAAAACCTCATCATCTCATCCCAAAACCTCCTTAAGCTGATAAGCAACTTCAGCAAAGTCTCAGGGTATGAATTCTGTGTGCAAAAATCACAAGCATTCTGATATGCCAGCAATACACAAGCAGAGAGCCAAATCATGAGTGAACTCCCATTGCCAATTCCTACAACGATAATAAAATACCTAGGAATACAACTTACAAGGGACGTGAAGGACCTGTTCAAGGAGAACTACAAACCACTGCTCAAGGAAATAAGAGAGGACATATACTCAGCTCTCGACCACATAGACATAATTAGATATTTACAAAACTCTCCACCACAAATTAAGAGAATATACATTCTTCTCAGTGCCACATAGCACATATTCTAAAATCAACCACATAATTGGAAGCAAAACACTCAGCAAATGCAAAAGAAATGAAGTTATAAGAAAAAGTCTCTCAGACCACTGTACAATCAAATTACCACTCAGGATTAAGAAACTCACTCAAAGCCACACAACTGAACAAAAATGGAACAACCTGCTCCTGAATGACTACTGGGTAAAAAATGAAATTAAGGCAGAAATACAGAAGTTGTTTGAAACCAATAAGAACAAAGAGACAATGTACCAGAATCGCAGGGACACCGCTAAAGCAGTGTTTAGAGGAAAATTTATAGCACTAAATGCCCACATCAAAAAGCAAGAAAGATCTAAAATTGACACCCTAACATCACAATTTTAAAAACTAGAGAAGCAAGAGCAAACAAATTCAAAAGCTAGCAGAAAATAAGAAATAACCAAGATCAGAGCAGAACTGAAGGAGATAGAAACACAAAAAACCCTTCAAAAAATCCATGAATCCAGAAGCTGGTTTTTAAAAGATTAGCAATATAGATTGACCACTAGCTCAACTAATAAAGAGAAGAATCAAATAGACGCAATAAAAAACGGCAATAAAAAGGGCCCGGGGACTTAACCCCCTCGGCGCTCCAAATCGGATTCTGTGCTTACCTCATCCCTCCTGCAACCCATGGTGGACGGGAGCCCTGCCCGATGGTTGGGCAACGTGGGCGGTCGATGCAAATCCGAGCAGCCGCTGTGGCTGGCCGTGGCAGGTTGTCACAGGGACCTGGCCGGGGAGTTTGGATAATGCCAGCGGGACAGACCGTGCCGCAGAGGGAGGCAGAGTTGGAAGCAGGGAAACAAAGCCTAAGGCCTGGCAGGCCCCACCTCCACAGAATTCATACTGAAGCCCTCGCTAGAGCGCTGGGCAGCAAATGCAACAGCTTGACCCCAACCAGGAAGATCTAGCTGGGGGACGAGAGACGCCATTGGGAACGCGGGGCCGCTCTCACCTGCAGACAAACTCTAGGGAAGGACGCCCCCCAGCAACCTGACGGACCCGAGAGCCCAGCATCGCCCTCTACAGGCCAAAGGGATACAGCTCCAACCTCAACAGAAAAAAACGGCCACCCCTGAAATCACCAACTTCAAAGATCAAAGGGAGATAAATCCACGAAGATGCGGAAAAAGCATCGCAAAAAGGATGAAACCACCAAAGAGCTACCTGAGGTCCTTGCTAAGCTCAGGGCCTCTAGGCAAGGCATTGTTTTCAAACTCTGTAATGACTGTCTCTGAAACTGTAGAAACATTTATTTCCATGTGCCCAGGACAGGGTTAGAGGGCACCAAACCCACCCACTGCA